ATATAGAAGTAGAGAAGCTAGCTAATTAGCTTATAAGATCTAGAGCCTTTTATAGTGTTAACTAACTACTAAGCCTTAGAGTATTTTACTACTAAGTAAGAACTTACTACTAGACAGGTCTACTAGGTAAACAATATTACTAACTATAACCTTAAGCTTACCTATTAACTAGGTTTAGCTAATATAGTAGTAGACGCGTTATTATAAAAGTAAGAAGAGCTTAAGACCTAAAAGAAGAAGAATTACGCCGCCTATATAAGAGCTTTTCTAAGTAAGAAGTAAATTAGCCTCTTAGCTATTAAGTAATTATTAGGTAAGTTATTAGTTCTAGCTATCTAGAAATTAGCTAGTAGTATAGTAAAAATAGCTACTACTAATACGTTTATAGAGGTACTCTCTACTAAGAATCTATATACTATAATTAATTAGGTTATTATAGCTAACTAATTAGATAACTCTCTATAGCTAGCTTAAGAAAAAGCTACTATATTAGGCTCTACCTAGAAAATAGAAGATAGCTTATTAATCTATTAGAATTAGTTAATAGTCTCTACTATTAACTATCTATAAACACACCTAATACGTGCTATATATACTACTTAGATAACTACCTACCTAGAATAAAGAAAAACTATCTAGTTACTATAAGATTAATATTACTAGCTAGGTATATAAAAAGACGTTAATACGTATATAGTAGTATATAAGGCTTACTACTAGAGCTATACTCTATAGAATAAGATGCTAGGTCTTCTAAAGCCTCTACCTATACCTAAGAGAGCTTAGTAGAACATCTCTATAGATTCTAAAAGCTTCTTTTCTAATAAGAAAGAATTTAACTACGTATACGTTATTATAGATTAGCTAAGTAAGTAGAGCTTCTCTCTACTCTACTATAAGAAAATTATAGCTTAACGTATAGTAGAGCTATATTACTAATATATCTAGCGTATATATAGTTCTTCTAGGTTTATTATATTAGATTATAGCCTATAGTTTACCTCTACCTTTATAGATAAGCTCTACTAGCTTATAGAAATTAAGTAGAAGCTCTCTACTACGTACTACTTATAAACTAATAGAAATATAGAGATTATTAATTAATATCTTAATTAGCGTCTACGTCTATTTATTAACTACTACTAGAATAATTAGTTAGACCTTCTACTCTATATAAATTAGGTATAAGCTATATTACTATATAAAACTATAGAACTAATAGCGTATAAAATTAAATTTAGATATTAGCTAGTATACTACTAGAATTAGAAGAAGCGTATAATAAAAGCCTCTACTCTATATAAGCGTCTCTCGCGCTAGAAAGCTTAGAATTTTACTAAGAAGTAATACAACGCCGTAAAAAAAGCTACTAAAATTGCATAAAGTAATATCGCAAAAGCGTAAGCTAGGCAGGCGCTTTAAGTAAATAAAAAGTACTAAGAACCTAATTTTATAGTAGGTAACCTTGTCTATATTAAACCTTATAGCTTTTTAATAAATTAGCCTAGTATAAAGCTTAATTAATAGATATATAGCTCTTACCTAATTATTACTATAAAGAGTTACTTTTTCTAGCTCTAGCTATCTACGTATATACGTATATATAACGTCTTTTACGCTAATTAGTTATAAAAAGTCTTAGAGCTATTACTAGAGTAGGTAGAGCCTAAGTAGCTACCTATTAAAGTAGATAGTAATCTAGAATAGCTTGTATATAAAATTCTAGATAGCTATCTTTATTAAAATCGCCTTTAATACTACGCTATATAGGTTACTTATAATTCTAACTCTACCTAGTATAATACTATAGGCTTTATTAATACTCTCTATAAGGTAAAAGACTTTTATATAGTATACCTAGATAAGCTAGAGCTGCTATTATAATTAGATGCTTAAATTAAAGCGTATAAAAAAGAGAAGACTCTAGAGAAGATAGTAGAGAATTTAAAACCTATAAGAGTAGAAGACGTAAGAGTAACGTAAAGATACTACTAAGTAATTTAAGACTCTACTAAGCTTATAGCATAGTTTAAGAAGAGAGCTAGTAAGAAAGCTACTCTACTAATGCGAAAATAAGCCTCTTTTTTTCTAGAGAGAAGATAGTAGCTATAAAAGCGCTTCTAGTTTAAAACTAATATAAATATACTTACTATAAGCTAAAAGAGATAGTTAAGAGTATAACGTAGAAGTTTTAGAAGAAGAAAGACCTAGAAGGCGTATTTTAGAGCTTAGAGATAAGCTCTCTCTATAAGAGGGGGTAATATAATAGTCTAGTTTAGAGATTTACCTTAGGTTACGTAATCTTATTACGTAATCTAACCTAGCGTCTTAGCGCTTAGCACCTCTATATATAGAGCCTCTTAGAGCCTTTTTTTAACTTTTTACCTTTAGATAGCTAAATTTAACCTAACCTACTCTACTAGTATCTCTTATTCTTATAGCTTATAGAGATAGTACTATCTATAGCTAACTTATCTAGCTAGGTATTTAGAGACGCTTATAGTAGTAGAGACTATAAATCTAGCTCTTATATAAAGTAAAAGTTAATAGCTAAGCTCTAGGCCTATATATATTTTAGTATTTCTAATTAAGAGAGTTACTAAAAAATCTTATTATTATAATATATTAGCTATTTAGAACTTCTATTTTAATATATATATATACTACTTTAGCTAAATACTTCTAGAGATTTAGAAATACTATACTTAGCTATAATACCTTCTAGAACGTAATTACTCTCTTAAGGTCTAATATATAGTAAAGCTTATATATAAGTATTAATATAAATATCTATTTCTTTATATAGATATATATAACTAGTAATAGTTCTACTCTAGCTATAATAAGATACTATCTAAATTTAAACTAAAATCTAGGTTTCTTAATATTCTAAAAAAGATTTAAAATAAGATTTATAAGTATACTCTACCTCTATTTATAGTAATTCTTTATTCGCGCTTATAGAGTATTTACTTATATAGACTGTTCGCTTATAAAGTACGTTAAGCGTCTTTCTCGTAATTAAGAACCTCTTACTCGTCTTAACCGGGTCGCACTAGTCGGCGGGGCAACGCCGCCAAGCGTTTTAGCCCGCGAGTCGAATAATTCTTTATTTATTACTAATTCTTCAACCATCATCAATTCTTCAACCATTATCAATTCTTCAACCATCATCAATTCTTCAACCATCATCAATTCTTCAACCATCATCAATTCTTCAACCATCATCAA